TGCTCAACAGGGAGTCTGCTTCTTCCTCTGACCCTCTCCGCTCTCATGCTCTCTCTCTCTCATTCTCTCTCCCTCAAGTAAATAAATAAGTCTTTTTTAAAAAAAAAAAAAGTGTGTTTAAAATATATATATATTTTAAAATACTCTAAGAGAAAATAACCCCAAAGAGAAGTTTCCACTTACCATTTCACATTCACATTCATGTTCACATTCTGCCCAAATGAAATTGATGTTTATAAGATTGTAATTATAATACATACTAGTTTATATTCTTGTTTCCACTTAAAAACATCACGTTTATATTCTCTATATCATTTTGATAGAGAATATTCCATTGTTTCAATGTAATGAGATTAAACCATTGCCTCTTTTCTTCATTTTTAATTTTAAATAATCTTTTCCTTTTTTTTTTTTTTTAAAGTATCTTGGGAAAAAGAACGTATTCTAATCTGAAATCTGGCTTGGGAGACCCGGCCATATAAAGTAATTGAATTACTTTACAAAAACTATTTTCCAAGAAATAGCTATTTTCTAAAGATTACAAGAAATAGCTATTATGTAAATATTTTCATACAGGAAACACTACTTGTGAAAAACAGTCACTATTTATGTATTTTTAAAATTTGAAAACCCCCTCTGTTTCTCTTCAGAATGTATTAAAGCAACACTCTGGCCTCCCTTAGTGAGAGATTCTCAGTGTGAAAGCCGGGCTCCTTCCAGGTGGGACCCACCTAGCCTCTGGGTCTCAGCCCATCTAGGTCGGGCTGTTGGAGTCCACACAGCATCACAAAAAGAAGAGAACAGAAACTCGCTTAACAAGTCAGGATGTAACAGACAAATGCTAAAGCTCATGCTGATGAAAGTAATTATAACCACTTACAGGATGAGTCAGAAAATGTTTATATTTTAACAGAAAACTGTCAGAACCTAGCTAAGTGGACACAGTCTGGTCTTGCCTGAAATTCTCAATGTGTCCCAGTGTCAGCCTGGGTGTTGCTGTATGTCACAGTTCAATGTTGCCTGGAAGCCCCATTCCACACCCTGCAGGATTTTCAAGCACTTCTGAAGCGTTTTTACAGTATCTGGAAGGCCCATGACTCTCATGCCTTCCTCTGCATTAATTCGGCTGATAGATCATCAAACCATCCCCCACAGTTGTTGCTGGCTTGTGCACCTGCTCGGGTGGAACTGATCTCCTAACTCAGTCTTCAGCTTCGAAGTCAACACAGAAGCCCCCCCCCAAAACACACACACACACACACACGCACACACACACACACACACACACACACACACCATCTGCAGTAGAGCCTGCCTGTTGCACTCCTTGGTGAAGATAATAGGAGGTTCTAACAAGTAATACAGACACCTTTGAAGCACACAGTAAACGTAGTGGTTGAGTAAAGGACTTCTCATCGCTGCACCCCCACAGACTTTCCCAGGGGCCATGTCCCTTCATGGAGGATCCCTGTCTCCTGCCTCTCCGTGGCCCATTCTTCCTCATCTCTCTCTTATCTGACTTGTCATCCCCCTTGCACCAAGAATCCTAAATTGTTCATGCTGAGTTACATAGAGCAGCTCAGCTCTCCTGAATCTCTGCTCCACAAATCAGTCCCACATCTTGCTTCTGCATCTCAAAAGCAAGCAAACCAGGAAGCTTCAATTTAACTGGACCTGTATTTCTAGAAAGCAGTTACTGTTGTTAACAAACAGCATTTCTTTTCCTCTTGTACATCTGTGGGAGCTTTGTTAACTCCTTTGAAAAGCCAGTGCTGAAATAGATGCCTGTATACTCGTCTGTATCTATATCCACTTGTCTGGTGGAAGAGCTGCTACTTAGCCCGATGGGAGTGCTCAGGCTTCGGCTGCAGGGCAGGTTAGTCTCAGATGTGGCTAGCTTCTGTCTCAGTTTCCAGTTTCCTGCTCTGTATTTCCCTCTGTGTCATTCAGCCCGACACTCAAGTGCTTCTTTCTATCCGTCTTCTGCTCTGCGGCTTTGTTTGCCGGAGTTCATCTCACACTTTGGTCTCTCTTGTCCCTAGTCTGTGTTTACAAAATGCGACTAGGCATGGAGACCGCCACTGACTATTCCTTATGGGTCCCTGAGTGATGGTTCCTGAGGGCCTTCTTCAGCATGCATTCTCTCTCTGGCTGGTTTCCAGACTCTCTAAAAGCAGTGATGATATACTCTCTTTCTTTGACCCCCAACCCTTCATGGAAGGTGGTGGATATTCCCTAATGTTGTCAGGTGTTTCTCCAGATCCATTGATTCCACAAATTCATGTACTCTGCAAACATGTGTCTTCTGCAGTGAGCTGAGAGGTAGGGACACAGCCAGAAACAAGAGAAAGTTCTCACCCTCCCCCAATTCGTTTCTAGTTGGAGTGAGAGGTGGTGGAGTATTTTAGTGCTCCGTGAGTGCTGGTAACACCAAAACAGCACACCCTCCTTTCAGAACCAGAGCAAGCGCCTGTCGAGGGGGAATGCGGTAAACAGGAACGATGAAAAGCGCTACCTAATGACGTTTCTTCATCTCCGCGCACACTGCTTCATGCCGCCAGCCACATCTGCTCTTCGACCACGCGGCGATTCAAGTGTGGGTGCTGTGAAACCTTCCTTCTTCAGGATAATTCCATCCTTGATGAAAAAACAATATATTTCGGCTTTTAAAATTATAGCTCTGAAATGTGAATTTCCTCTTTACCCTCCTTGAGACAACCAGACCTGCTCTGTCTCTCAAACACACACACACACACACACACACACACACACACAGAATGAGGAAGAAAAGTCAGAAGATAGGAGGTATTTTACCACGTCTCATTCTAAATATAAACACGATGTTCACATTCACTATGTGAATAAAATGCCATTACAAACCTTATGAATAAATGTTACCATTTTAATGATTCTTGGTTATACTGTGCCCATTTTATGATGGGAAGTTTTGGCAAAGACAACAAGAAAAATAAGTGAATGCAATTACAATGAAGGTTATTGACTGAGAAAAAGGGATTCCCTTTTCCACAAACATTCAGCATCTCAGTAAGTGAACAAACATACTGAGAAAATATTATCAGAAGCAGTTTATTCCAAACATTACTTTTCTAGGTTATCCTCTTAACCTACCCTCTGGGATTTATAGTTCAACCATACCAGTTCAGAGTGGAAAGAAAAAAGGCCACTGATCTAATCCAATTCCTTGGGAAAAATACTTAGGCAATATTAAGAATCTTCAATTATCTAATTTAATAAAAGGGAAGGTTTATTTTCCATAGTCAGTAACATGTGATACTGATTATTTCTAATCCCTTAGAAGAGATCTAACATTCTGCTTTTGGTCCTGTTATAGCATGAAATCATCATGTATATTTTACCAAAAGAAGTAGCAAGAATAATGACCTCTGCAGTCTGCAGTCATTTTATGCTAACACACTGCAACATGGTTTTGCCCTGGGGCAGAGAAGTAGGGATTTTCTGTACTTCAAAAGAATGAAAAATTATCATCACTATCCAGAACCATTATAGACTTCAGAGACTTTGGCATGAAATATTCAGAAAGTTTATTTTAGAATTCAATATTTTAAAAGCCTGCTTTAAAACTATTACAGTGATTAGTGGCTCTGTTACTTGGGCCAGTCTTTGCTTTAAAAAGCCCCGTGTCATGGTTGATACCATTTGTTGTTTCAACAATTAATTTGCATCAACCACAGGAGCTCCACATAAGGAATGTAATGTATTGTTTTAGAAGGCCCCCCAAAGAGGAATTGTGACCACTACTCATCAGTTACCCTTTCAAACACACTTCTTTATTTTCTTTTAAGATTTTATTTATTTATTTATTTACTTGTCAGAGAGAGGGAGAGAGAGAGAGGGAGAACACAAGCAGGTAGAGCAGCAGGCAGAGGCAGAGAGAGAGCCTGCTGAGCAAGGAGCCCGATGCGGGAATCGATCCCAAGACCCTGGGATCATGACCTGAGCCGAAGGCAGCAGCTTAACCAACTGAGCCACCCAGGCATCCCTCAAACACACTTCTTAAATGTTACTTTTCCTGGTCCTGGTTGAAATGTGTTTCTAATACTGTGATTTTTGTCCTTCTGACATGTGTTATCTTACCCATGTGGAGGGGGTGCTATTTCTCTGGCCCTGTCAAGGGAGCCATGCTCCTGTCTCAGTGGTTCTAGGGACACACAGGGCCATCCCAACTGAGGCCACCCACAGCCTCAGCCAACCAGCCAGAGGCTCCCATCTTTACTGCTCTGCACCAGAAAAGCTTATCGGGTGTTTGTGAGGATTTAACACCACTTCTGAGGCCAATGAAGACTTCTGGAGCTAGAGTTAGCCATGTGAAATTGCAATACAACCCCTTCTCCTTGGACTGTTCTGTGTAAGTAGGGAGGCCACCTTGCAGTAGAGTACTTTGAAAGCTTTGGTTTGGGAGTGTCGTGGTCTTGATCTGTGTTCCAAGTCTGCTACTTACCAGCAGTGTGATCTTGTGAAATTGGTGGACCGCTTCCAGCTCAGTGTCTCTGTCTATAAAGTGGACCCATCCCGGCATCATGCCAAGATTCAATAAGATGAGGAACGTCAAGGCAGCACAGTGCAGGTGTCAGTCATTGTCCCCTTCACTGCTATTTATTCCCCAAACATTTTTCTTATCTCTCGTTGGTTTAGTCCACATTTCTGCTTTGTGATGCATATATATTTGTTGGTATATCACAGAAAGAATATGCAGGATGATTAGAAAAACCATTTCTGCTTTTCTTTAAAAACCTGTGCAGTTGGCTTCATTTCTTTAAATGTATGGAATGTATTATTTTTGTAGGTTTTAGTAAGTACATTTTCCTTTCCTTCCTCTGTAGGCATTATCAATGTAAGAAAAAAGATAGGCTTCAAGTTTGCCTTCAAGTAGGTGCCTCTCATAAACATGCAAAGAAATAAAGATTGTGGAACGCTCTTAATGTGTGAGACAAAAAATAATCTGTAAATAACGAAATAACTTTTGTTTCATTTTCCAGGGAAGTAGATCAAGACTCAGATGGTCTTGTCAGCTTTAGAGACTTTGAATATGCCATGAACTATGGACAAAATGAAGCCCAACTATTGTGAACTGCTTTTGGCAACCTCTGGGGAGACACATAGGTTGTAATGTGTGTTTAAACGTCCAACTCCACTCCGTTCGTGATGTAATTATGCTGTATACTTGTGATTAAACTCTCCATCGTGGTTTTCAGATGCTGGTATTACTTGCATGGCAGAATCCTGGAGGAGGTCATTCCACATGGTCTTCCACTGGGGCTCGTAGCCCTGAGCCAGGCTGCTGCTGGCTCTGCCACTGGGGGTGGCCCCACACCTCCTCTTCTCTCTCAATCCACCACTCCCACCCACACTGCAGGCTGGGGTACTCCACTCACCAGTCCTCACCACCCCACCTGCTCGCTCCGTGATTCTCATTGGTTCCTAATATCTGGAGAGAAGTTGCTTTTTCCTGCCAATGGTACCAGTTTCCTTCTTGCGTTCAACTTTGTTTGAACAAATAATAGCACCTGTGTGTACTGAGTGCTTAATGATGTTCCAAGCGATGAACAAAAAAGCACTGGAAAAACAAGGACTTAAGATTTCTCTAGGATAAAGTACCCAGTGTCAAAATCTTCATTGAAAAATGGCCCTAGGGCACTCGCTATACAAAATTTAAAGAAACAAATTGGGCTGGCATGAGTAAGTCTTCTCCAGCTGGATACAGAGAAAGAACAGCATGCGGTATGGAAGGATACTGGGGGCAAAAGATTTATTTGGGGAGCACTTTTGGATGGCTTGGGCCTGGGGTTCGTGTGGCTACCCAACTGTCCTCTGCTGCACACTTCCTGGTTGTGAGTGGCCCCGCCTGGACCAAGAGCCTGAGCTGTGTGTGTTCACATTCTCCATCTTTTGCCGGTCCGCACGTAGGGTTTGGTAATGCTGTACCCAAACAGAAACTGTGACCTGGGACCCTCAGCACTTATTTCAGATAAATGCCGGTATCAGTGCCAACAATGTTTTATCTCTAAGTGTTCAGGAATCGCAACATTAACATTAGGAAAACATCTAATTCAAATTTTAGAAGTAGTAAACATTCAAAGATCAAATAAAAATATGCATTTGTAAAATAGAAACCTTAAACAAGCATCATTCTAACAGAAATTATTGGCAAATAAACTTAAAAATAAGATCTTAAACTGTTACAAATCAAAGGAGCCTCAGGAGACAAAACAGTATAATTTGATGTTCTTAGAATAGAAAAAAGGACCTTAGGTAGACACTAATAAAGAATGGACTTTAGGGGCACCTGGGTGGCTCAGTTGGTTGAGGGTCTGCCTTCCACTCAGGTCATGATCCCAGGGTGTGGAATCGAGCCCTGCATCTGGCTCCCCTCTCAGTGGGGAGCCTGCTTCTCCCTCTGCCTGCTTCTACCCCTGCTTGTGCGCGCTCTCTCTCTCTCTCTTTGTCAAATAAACAAATACAATCTTTAAAAAAAGAAAAAAAGAATGGACTTTAGTTAATAATACTATCTTTAGAATTTTTCTGCAAATCTAAAACTGTTACAAAATAAAAAGACCTTAAAAACTTTTTCAAAGACTAACAAACTAAACAATATCAAAAATGAAGAAAAGTCTGAAAATCATTGAGAAGTACATATGAAATATTATTTTAAAAAGCAAAGTGGATCCAAGGTATCCTTGAGTATCCTGTGTGTTTTAGTACAAATTGTTCCGGCTGATGGAAAGCCCTTTGTGACTTTGCTAGGGTTTGTTCAGGAAGTGTTTTCATCAGAACTTGATCTCGATATATAAGTGATATGGATTTTAGATTTTTAAAAAATCAGAGTAAGCCACCAACAAAATGCCAGTAGTTCAGAAATTGCCAGGATGCCAAAACCTTGAATTGCAGTCACTATTTGGACCTTGTTTCTCCCGGGAAACATGACAAGAGAAAGAGAGGATTCACTTTCTCCAGTTGACGTGGGAGGCAAGAGGCCAGGCTGGGAATAGCTATCGGGCAACTCCCTTGGCCCTGGATTAGTCCAGGCTTTTTTCGGTCTCAATGACAGAAATCGATCCTAATGAGTTTAGATGCAAAGGGAACTTACTAGAAAATACTAGGCTAGCTTATGGAGTCTAACATAAGGAAGACAGTGGTGCAGCTGAGTTTCAAGATAACCAGCAGTGCCAGTACCTCCAGATCCTGCCTCTGTGCCATAATCACCATCAGCCTCTCTTGGTTCCAATGAGGAGTTGGCCCATGATCTGTCCAGTTGCAAGTCCAAAGACCCCAGAAAGGCTCTGGTTGACCTATGGATCAGTCAACTCTGGTTCATCTAGAGGGTACACTCCCAAGTGTACTGGGAGAGGAAGTTGATAAAAAGCGAGTGCACCTAGTCTAGGATGGAGGGTACACCTAGGATTGGCTGCTTAGGAGGGTCCAGGCTCTCAGAGCAAAGACCAAAAAGAAAGGGAAGGTGAGAAGCTGTTCGTGTCACCTTCCCCTCCTTATCACTTCCCCTAGGGAATCCAAATTCTCATCCTCTGAGTTTTCCTTTTAGCTTCTCAGTTCCAGGTCCCAGTCCCTACCCTCATCTCCCGGCCACATGATACTGTCTGTAGAGTGTGACCTTGTCAGTCTGCCCTCAGCTGAATGGATGGGCATCTTTGCAAGTCGATCAACTCCATCCCTTCCCTTGGAGGACATCAAGAATGAGAGTGAGTAGACACAGCAGTGCTCCTCTGAGTGGCTGAGTGGGTGGTTATGACTCAGGAGGAAACGGCAGACATGTTTTCCACCACAAGGCCTGGAAAACTGAGGCAGCTGATTTGCAACAAGAGCAGAAAATGAAACAACTAGAGGAGAACAAGAAAGAAGCTGGAGAAACCCTACACTACTTGCTTTCTGGTTAAAGTTTGTGTGCAAAGCCCAGTCATAACCCTTTGGGTCCTATGAGGTAACCCTGTACCCTTCCAATAAATCTTTCTACTCAAGCCAGCTGGAGTTGCTTTCTGTTATTTGAAACCAAAAGAACCCTAACTTACAAGCATAGAGCCAAGGACAGAGTCCTAGGTAACATCAACATTTACTGGGGCAGCAGAGAGAAGAGTGTTCTAAAAAGACTAGCAAGAGATAGTTGAAGGTGGAAGAGGAAGGTCTTCTGTCTCCAGTGTCCCAGCCTCTACTTGACCTATCACTATAATCAACTCCAGTCTTCCCTGTGGCAACAGCTCTCAAAGAGCTCACCGCAGATCTCCTGCAGGCAAGCCTACCAGTGCCTCTCAGACCTCATTGCACTTGTCCCTTCTCCCTTTAGGCTCCATGACATTGCCCTCTCCTGGTATTTCTGTGTCCATTTTTCCTACTATCCTTTCTTGATTCCTCTCCTACAGCCATCCTGTATTATTAGTATTCTCCTTAGTTGGCCAGTCTTTTTTTTTTTTTTTTTTTGAAGATTTTATTTATTTATTTGACACAGAGAGAGTGATTGCAAGTAGACAGAGAGACAGGCAGAGGGGGAAGAGGAAGCAGGCTCCCTGCTGAACAGAGAGGCTGATGCACGGCTTGATCCCAAGACCCTGAGACCATGACCTGAGCCAAAGGTAGAGGCTTAACCCACTGAGCCACCCAGGCACCCCTGTAGTTGGCCAGTCTTGATCAACATTCTCTACGGATCATTTCCTCTGCTCCCCAGACGTCAGCTAACATCTTTATGGATATGACTCCACAAACAAATCTTTATCATTAGTCTTAACCTCTGCTCAACCCAGACCAGTTTTCATTTGCCTGTTGGACATTTCCACCTCAATTCCAAACTCACTGAACTAAAATCAGACTTGTTGTTTCCTCTAATTTTCGAAATTGCTTTCTCACTCTGTGTTTTCTATTTCTGTTAATGGCAACCACCCGGCCACCCACCCTGAGCTGTCATCCAAGCCAGCTGCCTCAGGGTTCTTTTCAAGTCTCCCCCATCTTCCTCCGCTCTGACACTCAGCCAGTCACTGTGTCTGCAGTAACTCTGTGACATTTTCTTCCAGCCCATCATGGTCTCCCCGCTGTGTTCTGATTCCCACTCCCATCCTCCCATCCAGCCATTCGTTTTTCTTTTCATTGGTATAAAGAAGAGTAAAGGATGTGCTGATAAGTAAGAAACAGATCCCGCTGTCAGGAAATTTTGTCTAGCATGTCAATTATCTTCCCAGAGCACAGACAAAATTTATTTTTTCTCTGCTCCAAAGCTCTTAATAGCCCCCCTTTCTATCGGATAATGTCTCATCCTTTAATATGTCATTCAAAGCCCTCTATAATCTGGTCTCAACTTATATGTTCAGCTTCATATTTCACAATCCCCTATTCATCCCATCCCACAACTAGGTGACTCACACCTGCACATGGTCCCTTAGCCCCAAAACACCAAAATGGCAAGCAGATCTTTGTCCCAAGTAGGAAAGTAACAGATAACCTTGGAATTAATATCTGAGGAAAATAGGAAATAGGAAAATGCAACCATAAATAATAAAATTCAATGAAAAAAATACTGGACCACCTTCATCCTAATGAGTATCTCCCCCTCACAGTTGTCACTTGTGAAGAGGGAATGGGGCCTAATTATGCTAAGTATTTTGTAGTTTTAAAGATTTTATTCTTGAAAAGTTATTGAGATAATTTTAGTCAGCTTCTTTAACAAATGAGGAAACAAGTCTCCGAGTCTAAATGACTTGACTCAGGCCAAGTGATGAGGGGGTTAGAGAGTGTCAGGATGATGATTCAAACCTGTCAGCCTTACTAAATACAGATACCTTCCTGCCATGCTGCATTGCCTCCAGTGGGAAAAATCATCCATGACATTGGTCCGTATTCTATAATTACACTTTGTTTTTGACCCAAAATGAGTTTATCCAGATTCATTGGCCACCCCAAGTCAAACATCTAACACATAATAGACATATTAATTCCCATCTTAACATATCACTGGGCTTAACCCAAACTCCATTGGGTAATTAATCAGACCCACATTCCATTGGGTTATTAAATCAAAGATTTGCCACCAGACACAATGTCTTTTAAAGTGTGCTGCAGGTGTACTGAAAAGAAGGGACACCTGCATCTCAATGTTCATAGCAGCAATGTCCACAATAGCCAAATTGTGGAAGC